AACTAGGTGTACAGATTGACTCTATAAAGCCAGATATAATCGCAGTAACAGAAAGCTGGCTGACACAGGCTATAGATAGTATAGAACTTGATTTCGAGGGCTTTACGTTAGTAAGGGCCGACAGAACACAAAAGCGCAAAGGAGGGGGAGTAGCTCTGTTCATTAGGAATGCTATCCCATTTACCATTATCGATAGTGTATCCCATGAGAGTGGGACGTGTGAATTAGTTAGTCTTCGCTTAAAATGCAAGGGACAAGAGCTGCTGATTGGTTTGGTCTATCGCAGTCCAAGCTGTGAGGCAAATGAGATCCTGTTAAGCAGTCTCAATACTTGGTCCCAAAGTGGTCGATGTCTAATCCTAGGGGACTTTAATGCACCAATGGTAGACTGGGAAAATCTGCGAACTGAATCGTCAGAAAATTCCTTCGAGCAGGAACTAGTTGATGCGGTTATCACATGTGCCCTAGTGCAACATGTGAAAGAAGCGACTAGGTACGACCCGGACACTGAATCATCCTTATTAGATCTTATACTGACTCACTATGAGGATGATGTTGCGAACCTCCACCATATGCCACCCTTAGGTAAAAGTGACCACGCAGTCTTAACTTTCGACTTCCATATAACTGCCAGTCATGAGGACGCGTCAGTCCAATCCAGACCCAACGTCTGGAAAGCAAACATACCAGACATCATGCACTCAGCATCGTTAATAGATTGGACAATAGACCCAGAGTCCTCCATTGAAACGGCCTGGGACACATTTCGAAAATCATACTTAAAAGTTACCACACCTCACATCCCTTGGACTATACCAAAGGGGCCGAAAAACTCACAACCATGGTTCAGTAGGGAGGTCCGTATCCTTCTCCGTAAGAAAAGGAAAACGTGGGATAGATTTAGGTTACTGGGGACTGATGAGTCAAAATCTCAGTATCGAAAGGCTCGGAACACTTGTGCCTCGACCCTCCGTAAGTCTAGAAAATTGTACGAAGAAAAACTTGTTAAGGAATCCATAGAATGTCCTAAACGCTTGTATTCCTATATAAACCAAAGGACAAGGAGAAAAGGAAATATTCCTGCTCTATGGGGAGACAGTACTGCTTCATCATTAGTGGAGGACGACTTTGGTAAGGCTCAAGCGTTCTCGAACTACTTTAGCAACGTGTATACCATAGAAGCGCCCTTCTCGTCAGCGTATACAGATCCCCCCATACATACACTGGATAGCGTGACCATTAAAGAACTCGATGTCTTTGATCTGCTAAATAAGCTTGACACAGGTAAATCCACGGGGCCCGATGAATTACATCCTAGGCTACTGAAGGAATTATCTAACTTCGTTGCGAACCCTTTAAGTACATGCTTTAACCTATCCGTTACGCAGGGTCGCTTACCGAAAGATTGGAAAAACGCCATAGTAAGTCCTGTCTTCAAAACAGGCACGAAACACAAACCTGAGAACTACCGCCCCGTTAGCCTAACTAGTGTGGTTGTTAAAATATTAGAAAAGATTATTCGGAAGGAGCTGTTTAAGTATCTCGATAAAAACCGGATCCTCTCGGAGAAGCAGCATGGCTTCAGAATAGGTTATTCTTGTCTCACTAACTTATTAGTGGCTCGTGAAAGCTGGTGTGCTCTTAAGGACCAAAAGCTACCTGTAGACGTCACCTTCATTGATTTCAGTAAAGCCTTTGATAAAGTTCCTCACAACCGGCTGTTATATAAGTTAAGACATGTCGGGATTGGAGGTAATTTATTGATGTGGATAAAAGACTTCTTAGTTGGGCGTCAACAAAGAGTAAGGGTAAACTCAAAGTTATCTAGCTGGGAAACTGTGCTTAGTGGAGTCCCCCGGGGTACAGTTTTGGGGCCAGTGCTATTCCTCTTGTATGTAAATGACCTTCCTTGTCTCCTATCATCATCGGTCTTGCTATATGCTGACGATGTCAAGATATGGAGAACGATACGATGTAAGAGTGATAGCTTAGAACTTCAAAATGACCTGAAGAAGTTATCTGAATGGTCTCAAACATGGCAGTTGCCGATAAATACTTCCAAGTGTGTTGTGATGCATATCGGTCATCAAGGCACAGATACATACACGATGAATAACACTGAGCTACCTGTCGTCCAGACATATAATGACTTAGGAGTTATCGTTAGTCAAGACTTAAAGACTACTGCACACTGCCGTGCAATAGCCGCCAAAAGTTTTAGAACGTTATGGTCAATACGTAGGGCTTTTAGTCATGTCGACACTAAGACGTTTTTGACTTTGTATACAGTGTTCGTTCGTCCTAAACTTGAGTACTGCATACAAGCGGCTAGCCCCTGCTTTAAAAAAGACAGTGAGCTCCTGGAAAAGGTTCAGAGAATGGCGACTAAGCTGGTTCCCGCAATAGCGAAGCTTCCGTATGAATCTCGACTGGCCAAGCTGAACCTTTTCCCGTTGTCATATCGCAGAACTAGAGGCGACTTGATTACAGTCTACAAATTGCTTAGTGATAAATTTGCACCTAACATGCCCTCATTTTTCTTGTCTTCCAAAACAGAGAATTTACGAGGACACTCCAAAAATGTTCATAAGCCGAGAACAAATTACTTGTCAGCTGACTATCGACTTTCCCATCGAATCATCAACGAGTGGAATTCACTACCTCAGCACGTGGTTGAGGCTCCATCCGTCGACTCTTTCAAAAGAAAGTTGGATCAACTGAGAGACCACCATTGCCAGGACTAACATAGGCCATCGAGCCTCCTGTCCTTCCCAAACTGAAACTGAAACTGAAATGTTCCTAGGGTGAAACTGTATATAAATGCATGTGATATATTTCCAGTTTATAACCTGAAGTGCGCATGAGCTGTCATAACGATGATAGTAGAATTAATCACAACGAAACGGAAAATCCCTAATTTTATTGCTGCTGTAAACTTGAACATAATATAAGTTACCATGTCTCTCTCTTTTAATCGGTAATGTCACTAGCGGCGTTTTCGTAAACTGTTCGTTTTTTTAGTTTCTGTGCTGAAACCTATATTTCTGGAAGTAAGTGTGTTGATTATAGTTTACTGCTCATAGCTATAGCTTAATTGACTCTTTCAACATCATTTTGAATCATATGAATGTGATGCTATATCGTAGCATCCTTTTAATTTGATTGATTACATGTACAATAATACTCAGGGGTACCACCACCGTCTTCTTTTGAAAATACAATGTCTAAGTAGTTATTTCTTTTCTCCAGAATTTTCCATCACGATTGGTTTGCTTTCTGATGTTTTTAGAAAAAAAAAACATTTTTGAGATCGTTATACGTAAAAATACTTTTGTGACATATCGACATATATGTACATACTTGTGTATGTCGAAACCCTACCAATTGTGTGGATCTTGTCGTTTATTTTACTTCGAATCAATGTATTGGGCCCGGTGAGCTATGTACATACATATTGACCTTATAGAGTCTGTGGAAGATACATCAAAAGTCTGACCGTATTCCAAGTTGTTATGAGTTCTTTTAGATATTAGCAGTCGTCAACATTCGAAACACTATTCGCACTAAATTTCCTGCTGTGTCTTTCGTCATCGACAACATACGATACTTTCAGTCTTCAGTAACAAGTGCAGGAGGTCTATCGACCTATATCAATCCTTGCAACTCGTAACACTGTCTCGTTCTGAATATACCAACAGAAGGTGCTGATATCATGTGTTTTGGTGGAGAATTCTAGTACTTCGCTACTCGGCAAGAGAAACGAAACTTTAGCGTAGACTACTTGGCCTCTGTTTTCGAACTTTCTTAGAATGCCCTCTCAAATAATCAGTCCTAGACGGAAGGACAAGAATAGACATATTAATATCAATGTTGTTGTTCAGCATACGATAAACCAATATTGGTTAACCCCATAATCTGCGGTAAGATAATTGAAATAGGTTGAGGTGTCGCAATCTGTCTTCATAAGATAGGCCAGAGAGACCTTTTACCATTTTTAGTCCTTCGTTGTTGGACTCGTTCCAACATATCCGTCTCATACTTGAAAAAGGACTCACTGCTCGAATCCTATATTCCAAATGCAGGCTCACGAAAGTCAGGTATAATACTTTAAACATTCCTTCGTCCAATTACTGAAAGACCTAAGAATAACCTATAATATTTTGAAGCCTTCGGCAGCAGCAACCTTGCAGTTGTTCATAGTTTCGAGGTCGCTGCTTATTATGGCTTCTAAATCTTTATAGTCCATTACTTTGAGTAACACAACTACACGTATTGCATAATGATACGAGTCATCATAGGCTTTCATTGTAAGGTTTTCTTTATCCTAGTAATTTGTTCTTGGTAAGTGTTCATAGAAAGTAAACCTATTTGCTTTATTCATCCATAGTTTTTGTTTTTATGTTTTCTTGCATTTGTTAATATTACATATTTTGTACTCCAAAGTGTAAAAGCATTGCTTTTTTTCTAAATATATGTGCCATTTCATACCGTTTAATCTTCCTTCGTTTTGATGTGTTAGTTATTATCATTATTGTCTGAACAATAGTCTTAAATCTGTTGGAGAGAGGTTCTAGTAAACAAAGGTGATTTTTTTACACACATTAAGCTTCATTGGTTATAACTTATCACCTGGATTTGTATCCCGGTAAAATATAGTCTGAATCTATTGACGAATTATTTCTATTGCCACACTCTAAAATTACTCTGTCACGAGTTGAGAGTTGTGAAGTTTTTCTGTAAGTGTACAACAGATCTTTTGTACTTCAAATTATCATGTGTTATCAGTCTGGTTTTAATGTAATTTTGACATAATAATGGACCATGTTCTAACGTGAACAAACCAATTTTCAACTCATTGATCCAGTTAAAAATTAAGGGTTGCAGACTCAAAAGCTTAAATTGGTAAAAAACTGTATATCTTGCCTGGAACACATAAACTGTAAATTTTTCTACTAAAATAATCAATGTCTTTACTTTCAGGTTATGTCTTTGGGTAATGAATGGCATCCGTTGGTGACACACAGATCCGAAAACAATTACGGGCTTGCAGGCGCCGTCAGAGACGTTATCTAAGTTTGAAAAGTTCTAAATCTTCCAACAAAAGAAATTCTAATCTTGAAAGCTCTGACACAAACTCGGAGAAAGTATACATTGTTCAGAGTATTCTCGATGAAAGAATTGTTAAAGGACAGAAATACTACAAAGTGCGTTGGGAGGGATTTCCACCCGAAGCAGATAGTTGGGAACCAGAAAAAAATCTCACTAATGTATTAGATATAATTTCCGAGTTCCATAGTGGCTCAAAAAGTAGAATTTCAAAGAACTTAGATATACATAAAAATTGCCACACAGTTTTCGAAAACTCTCCAGCTTCCGTCCCAACGCCTCCTGCTACACCATGTTCAGTACTTCAAAACTCACATAATCCCTTGAGAGGCTCTAGTGAAGAGCGACAGTTGAATAAATCCATGAAACGTAAGCATTTTACGAAGTCACGCACTGGCGGGAGATATGAATATGTTCCAAAACACCAGTTAGTTGCTTCAAAGACAAAATATTTCGACGATATTCGAGATGGAAAAATCGACCTGTGTTCGAATGATCTTTATTCACGTGTTAAAACCCGCAAGCGCTGCGCTGCTGAGTCTGCTAGCAACTCCGTAAGCAATGAATCTACTCAGAGTCGAAATGGCAGCCTTCAAGGGGAGATAGAATTAGAATGTGATACCTCTATGGAGCATTTTTCAACATGTTCTCCGAAACGTGACCCAGTATCACCATCATTTTCATGTTTCGGTACCAACGAATCCCTTCGAGACTTCAGCTGCACACTTCCTAATGATGAGCAGAGCCAGCCCATGTTTCCTGCAGGAGGTTCTGAACATTATCATCCTGAAATAACCAAAAATCTAGTTACCACAAATGTTTCTCCATCGCATCAGTCAGATATTTCGAAGTTTGATAGTAAGGCTGTTCAGTCAGAATTCCATCCAAATTCTTCAAAAGGGATATCTTGTAACCTTTATCTCTGTGATTCCATATCCAAAGTAGATATTGGATTGTCTCCAATATCTTCACATGTGAGTCTATTGTGTATTTTGCATAAGATTCCTCTAAATTGGATTAGAGATGAATCATTTGGAATCAATAATTCATAGGTTCTAAATTTTTTATACTAAATGAAAGACACTATAAGCCGTAGAAATAATCACTTTAGTTAAATTTAACTGTGAAATTTAATCACTAATAATTAAGTTTGGTGTATACAAATGTTTATTTTTGGGTTGTGCTCCAATGATATGCATTAGCTGTTGGCGTCGATTCAACTGTACTACGAATTTTCAACGAATATATTTGTTCCTGAATCTGGTGGTTTGATTTTAAATGTATCAATAAGTTATTAAAGTGCCTTAGAAAGTGTTAGTTTGAATCTTAGACTGAAAAATCTTAACTAAACAACGTAAATTGAAAACATACAGTTTAACCCAAACCCGTTTTGTATATAAAATAAACATGTACTTTATAACGCTAAGCTCTGTACATTTTTTGTTTTGATCACTAGTCATAAAAATTATGAGAAAAAACTATTTATCTGTTGTTTACGGGTTCATTTTACGCCAGCACTCATTTCTAACTTGAATTAAAACAGTTTTCTTTTCTTTTTCTTTATTAGCCATTAGATAATAAACCACTCCGGGCGTTTGAGAGAGAAAGTACCTCTTATTTTAATGTTGTGGAACAACCAGGAAATTCCCACAACCTGTATGATAAACTATATGAACGGAGCGTTTCATCACTACGCACACTTGTAAATATTTATTTTAATTTAATTCTATCTCATATTTCAAATGAAGATGAAATAACCCATAGTGAACAGCCAACCGACTTTCATCATGAGCTTAGATGTCTACCGCACTTATGTGTCTATAATCACTTAACCTCCATTCAGACACCCGGTGAATTCCTAAATGCTATCAATAACCAAAGATGGAGTCTTATCGCCACTATGCCCTCGAGGAACTTGTTTTCAGAAAGCTCTCAAGCTCAAAAAAGCAGTACTTATTCGTTGTCACCAGAAAAGACGTCTGAATCTCGCAAAAGTGATAACAAACCGGATTTAGAGGAAGATATTCGTTTCAAAGAGGATGCGTTATTGGCATGTATCACTGGGGGCGCAGGTAGACCCTTAGTTTTAGACCGACTGCTTACTTCTGGATTGGATCCTAATAAGGTTATTGAACCTAATTCTAAATGGCCATTATTAGCTTTAGCGGTTTGTTTGGGTCGTTTACATGCTGCTCAAGCATTACTTGATGCAGGTGCTAAGCCTAATTGTGTTGAACCCAACCGTCGACAACGATCAGCTCTTGGTTTAGCGATAGCAGCAGGAGATGTTGATATGGCTAACATGCTTATTTTGTCTGGAGCGAACTTTTACGAGGTATGTCTATTTTAAGGTATTCATGCATTGGTTAGGTCTACAGTTTCACTTATTTGAAACCTACTCAGCATTTTACTAGTTTCAAGGAGGTTTGTTAAGACTTATGGCTGACTAATATGGCGTATGGTCTCACAACTATTTCTTGACTCCTTTTGTCCCTTTTCGTAACAACATACAGAAGGTTGATCGTTAGGGGAATATGATTATTATAGTTCAAATTTATTCAGTTCAAATAATAATATATAATCCAGTGTCTAATTAATCAGAATAGTCAATATTTTAATACTTATTACGTCCCTTATATTCTGCATAAACGGTTGGTTTAATTATTGTTGATTTTAAGCTTGTCACTTGGAGCTGTAGGTTTAATTCCATTTCAGATCTTGATGAAATAAAATACAGTCCAATTGCTGCAAGAGATCAATTGAATCCCCTTTAACAGCATTTTTTTATCATTTAGGCCACCTGTTTTAAAAGTACATCACTAAATTATCTTAGTACTACTTTGATTAACACTTTCGGACGTCTACTTGTCAAAAAAATATTCAATTAGCCAATATATACAAACTGATCACGTTACTTCTCTAATATCACTAGCTTACTGACTCATCACCGTTCACGATTGCTGATCGAGCTTATCTACCTGACTTCAACTACTTTTCCACCCATCTTTTCTTGGAGATTATAGAAATGGTTTAAATACTCGGCTTCCAGCCGTTAATTGATTCATTAAGACCCACTTCATTCACTTAAGTATAAGTTGGTAGCTAGTATCCTTTGACAACATTGGTAACCCTCAAAAGTACTTGGTAGATTGGTATGGTCAATGAGTCTCATCAGTTTGTTTCAGTCGACGGTATGCGTTATTAGTTTCAATTAGTTTGTAAAATGTATCAAGACATACCCGTAAAACCATTGATTACAGAGTAATTGGGTTAGACCCTACCGCAATTCAAGTTTTCTTAACATCACTTATACGCCATGCTAAGGTGTCAGTCAGTCAGTCAGCTACAACGTAGGACCAGGCACATATATGCATCGGTCCAAGTTGCCATACCTCATTAACACAACAAGATGGACACCGGATTCATAAAAGTAGTTAATTCAGAGGTGGTAATATATAAAAGAAAGATTGCAATAAGGATATAGTACAGCAAGAAAGAATTAGTTTGTAGAATAATAATCAATGTTCTACTAAACACCTGTTTGCTAAGCATGCATATATATATATACTTTATGACTCCTGTTTTGTTCTCGAAGGATTTAGTTTTGAAATCGTAGTCTCGAAACAACTAGATGTATGAAATGGGGAATGTTAGTTAAGTCATCAAAGAGAGAGCTTAGGCTTACCTGAAATGCACGTCGATACACGTACCGCAAAAATTATGCATAGCCTCATAAAATCTAGTTGACCACTTTTCTTAGCAGCAAAAAATGAGGTCAAGAAGAAAACGATTACTCAAACGATTAAGAAGGTTATCATTAAACCTGGAAATAAAAAAATATATAATGATAAAGTACTCAAAATAGTGAATGTACAAAATCATAAATCAAAATGGCACTGATTTGAATTCGATCACAGCTTAAGTTTCATGTCAACTTTGGATCTATCAGTATGACGAGTTGGGAATAGGAAACGTTTCATCCTGATTTTTATATTAGTAGTTTGAGTTTCTGTCATCTTACTCTGTTATTACTGTTAATAATCAGTAGAAAATATAATAAACTTTGGGTTTTATTTCGAGTGCCATTGTTATTTTTTCTACAGCTTACTTTACTTTTCTATCTGTTACTGTGTTGTAAATTTTCATTATTATATTGTGAATAAAAATTCTGTGTACAACTTTGCAGGTAGAACCCGGGACAACGGCCCTTAATCTGATCATGAAGTTATTAAATGCCCATTTGTCTTCACAACAAAATCCAAAAATTAACTATCGTCAAATAAATAAGTCATATCTTGCTCTTGCAGAACTTCAAGATAAACTACACAGTATGGATAGTCAATTTCCTCCCGTTCCTTCACCTTCCCCACCTAATGGACTCAATGTCCCAAGCTTACCTAAATCCCACATTTTTAATGCACTTATAAGTTCAAGCATGGGAAATCACTATGACTCTTCTCAGTTAAATAATATGGATAGCAACATTTCTAAATCCAGTAATGCTTTACCGTCTGTAGATAGTTTACGCAGACTTCATGAACTTATTGTGGCGCACCATGCCCGTTTATCAGTGAGTGTCACTAATTTAGTACGAACGTGGCTTACTCGGGCTGATCTTGTCCAAGTTGGATTAGTGTCACCTTGTCAGTGGATAAGCGTACGTCAGTGTTCTGCTTCAGTAAAATTTTCTTGGCCAAATGAATTAAGCAATCCAAAGTTACAACCAAGTCGTGTAGTTGCACCCATCTTGATTTTAGTTCATGGTCGAATAGCACCTCCTGCTTGTTACGATGTTTGGATGGATGATGATGGGCCTTGTGTTATAGAACGCGTTTGTCTTGATCAAACATATAACCAGAGGGCATTAAATCGAATGCTGTTTGTAACTACGTTATATCCACTTGATTGGAATTCATCAAAACCTCAAGAACATGAAGTATCAATCGACTTCAAACCACACAGTATTTCATCCATTCATTCTACACGTCCGACATGTGTTGCAATTATGATTATCGCTGCTGCTCTATCCCAATCCAATAATAAGGAAAAAGTATCACAACAGAATGGAAACGTGAATGCTATTCAATCTTCACGTTCATCTATAACTAACAGTCAACTGACTTAGAAGTAATCAAAATTCATTTGTATATGCACCACGCTTAATTAATTTAGCCTATTTCCTTTTTCTTCTCTAAAAATACTCTCAGCGAAACTAGTCAAATATATATTTTTATTATTATTTCACTCTGATTGTTTGATAAATTTAACAGAAACTAATTTTGATTGACTGTTTATACCATATACCTATGTGCTTTCCTATATATTTGCTCGTAGACATCGTTTTATTTACCGTATACATTGTATCAATAGGAAATCATCAGATATATGTTACTTATACACTGCTAGTAATACAACATTCTCCAATTGTCAAATGTTTTGTGCTTACCTATGAAAATAAGTATACTTATATGCGTATGTCAATACTGTGATCTATACTGAGATATATGTTCTTTTTCTTTCTGTTTACTTCATTTAATTTAGTTATTTCATGGAACTACTGGTTTTCTTACTGTTTCCTATTGATATACTCAATCAGTTTATGCTTTGTTTAATATATATGTCAGATTTTGCAGCTACTACCTTTCCCAGAGTTTCTCCTGAATATAAACTGACCCCACTTTTTCTCCTGAACTCAAACCTGTTTTTTTTGTTTTCATTTTAAAAAGACTCACATACACACCTTAAGAATAAAGGAATCTTTTAAAGTAGTCTTATGTGGGTTTGTTCATTAAGTGAAAAAAATTAGTTGACATAAATTTTAATATTCTAGGTAATCCGTTTACATAATATTTTTGTTTTTGCATGAATCAATTCAACTACTTGATATTCTATTCTGTTACTTACAAAAGTTGTTATTGTTATCTTTGTTACTAGAAATTATTTCTCGGTTAATCGTTTTTCTTCTGTTTCTATTTTTGTTTTCTCATATATATATATATATATATATATATATATATATATATATATATATAAACAACAGGTCAATTTAATCAGTGCTCAACTAGTTGTGTTACTTGATTTACTCACGTGTCATAGTTTATAGAACGCAATGAGATGTTTTTGTTCGTGGTTTCTAATATATAGATGAATATCTTGTAAACATTATACACTACATACTTCTCCAAATGCTCGTTTCTAAGCAGTAATGACATGGTTGTTACTCTCTCATCTCTTTAATGTTTCACAGTTTATTGTGTAGTCTAAATATGATTCTCAGTGTTCAGTAATATAATTTATTAGGACTTGGAAAAATTAACTTGGTGAGGAACGTTGGTAGCGTTCCTGTGAAGAGTATCAGTGACGAGTTTTACACTCGTAATGAAGTAAAAATATTGAGTTGGACATCAGTAGATGATAATTCTTTTTGGGGGGGGGGCAGCAAAATAAATGACGCACCTGGTTCTACAGTTGTCCGTCATTGACTTGTAACAAAACTGTTCATAGAATAATCTAATGAATTGTCCTCAATAAAATCATACATTTAGTTCTCTTTATTATCTTGAAAAGAGCAAGAAAGAAGAATTTGACAGAATAACATGAATTCATTTTATTTCGTTAGGTTCTCATCATTTGCTTACGACCTATAATATTTAAAATCGAAACTATTGTAAAGTTTACATACTTATAACAGTAAGAATGGATTTCTATCATAATGGTAAAGTATTGAGTGTGAAGACAATGAGTGCTGTAAATAAATATAATATGTGAGGGATAATTCCGGATCATTAGACATAGTAACAAATAATTAATTGACTATACAATGAAGTAGTTGAACATAAATTAATAGCAATTAAGAATAACATGAGTTGAGATTAGTCGGTTAAAAGGCAAATAATAAGGCTATAAATTCGAAACGAGTAATGCTAATAAAATGGGAGAGAGAGAAGAAAGTTGCTAAAATGATGTGATAAAATGACGAAAAGATCACCGTGGTAAGGATTGACTTGCAACATAAGTTCGGCTTTACTCATTTAATAGCTATGACCTCAGGTCAATGACATTTAGGGCTTCTAGCAGTGCTATTGCAATCATCTCTGTGACACAGGGCATCAAGTTAATAGGCTAAAAATCATTCAGCATCAGCAGTTGACAGTCGAATACCGCTCTCCTCAAATTCGCCGAAGCCATAGCCATTAAATGACTAAAGCCGGACTTATGTGTCGAATTGTCTACGTCGATTGTTGATCTTTTGGTTAAACAAACCTCACAAGTGTTCAATTTAGGAAAATTTATTCAGTTTGAAGAAATTCTATAAACAAACCACTTGAAAAATAAACTTTGTAGATAGTAGAATAAATTAATTGTATTCAGTATAAGTTTAGTATGATTCTTATTGGCATAAATATTCCAAATCGTTGGGTATAACTACTATCGTATTTGTATAAACTGTGTGCACACTACAAAAAATTGATGATTCATCAATCATCAGGGTTTTATGTGAATACAATTGATGCTAGTTTCATGTTAGATACTTTATGGCAGTTAGGTAGAAAATTTAACTTTAAATTGACCTACCAACAAATGTTTGGTGTTCAGTAAAACAGCGTGTCTGTTTTAAATACTAAATACTCGAAACTAAGTGAACTGTAGACGTTATTGTTAGGTCTTACTATTAAATGATATAATTATTATTTCTATCGACATTACTCATTAGATCTATTTAAATAAATAAAATAATTCGGCTCAGAAATCAATAATTGTATATATATGACGAGTTGACGTTTTTCCAATAATCAGAGCACGAATTCCGTTACATTGAAAGCCCGTACATTCAGAAATGAAAACACTGTCGAAGTCCAAATGGAAATCTATAATACCCACTTTGTTACCACCATTAATCTTTCCTAAAGTACCATATATTGAATTTTTGCCATCTTTAGGGATCCATTTAGTAAATGCTAAGATTACTTTACTTCTGTTACTCCTCGTGAAGGAGCATAGGCCGCACACAAGCATTCTACATCCAACCCTGTCCTGGGCTATTCTTCCCGGCTCTTTCCAGTGTTATTCATCCTTTTCATATCTGATTTTATTTCCCGACGTAATGTGTTCTTCGGCCTTCCTCGTTTCCGCTTCCCTTCAGGATTGCAAGTTAGTGCTTGTCTCATGATGCAGTTTGGTGATTTCCGTAATGTATGTCCTATCCATTTCCATCGTCTTTTCCTAATTTCCTCTTCAGTTGGAAGCTGGTTTGTTCTCTCCCACAGAAGGCTGTTGCTGATTGTATCCGGCCAATGGATGTTGAGTATCTTGCGAAGACAGCTATTTATAAATGCTTGCACCTTCTTGATGGTGGTTGTTGTAGTTCTCCAAGTTTCAGCTCCGTACAGTAGAACTGCCTTGACGTTCGTATTGAATATTCTGACTTTGATATTGGTTGAAAGTTGTTTTGAGTTCCATATTTTCTTCAATTGTAGGAATGCTGTCCTTGCTTTGCCAATCCCCGCCTTAACTTCTGCATCTGAACCTTCTTGCTCATCGATGATGCTTCCTAGTTATGTCAAGGATTCTACATCTTCCAAAGTTCTGCCATCAAGAGTGATTGGATTGGTGTTTTCCGTGTTGTATTTGTGGACCTTGGCTTTTCGCTTGTGTATATTGAGGCCTATTGTTGCTTAGATTGCTGCTACGCTGGCTGTCTTTATCTGTATTTGTTCGTGTGTATGCGATAGGAGGGCTAGGTCATCTGCGAAGTCTAAATCGTCTAATTGGTTCTGAGCTATCCATTGTATTCCGTGTTTTCCCTCAGATGTCGAGGTCTTCATAATCCAGTCAGTCACCAGAAGAAAGAGGAAGGGGGAGAGTAGGCAGTCTTGTCTGACTCAGGTCCTCACTTGGAATGCAACTGTCAGCTGTTCTCCATGCACGATTTTTCGCTGTAGTCCGTCGTATACCTCTCTAGTTTTAACATATGCTCAGATCACCTTTCTTTGGAATCTTGGTGGGGTGTCCTTTTTTCCAGTCCATCGGCACTTGTTCCTCCTAAATCTTGAATAGAAGGTGAAGCATGTTTGTAGTTACTTCGATGTCTGACTTCGATTCTTTAGCTGGTATATTGTCGGGTCCTGCTGCTTTCCCGCTCTTGATTTGTCTGATGGCCATTTGGTCTCTTCCGTCGTTGGTGGGGTGAGATCTATAGGAAGATCTGTGTGTGCTGCTTTGATGTCCGGTGGATTTATTGGAGCCGGCCTATTCAGGAGTTCCTCGAAGTACTCCACCCATCTGTTCCGCTGTTCTTGAATTTCAGTGATTGGCCTGCCTTCTTTGTCCTTGACCGGTCTCAATGGTTTACCATATTTCCCTGATAGTTTCTTCGTTGTATCATAAAGCTGTTTCATATTTCCTTCTCTAGCAGCTTTTTCCGCCGTCGTTGCTAGTTCTTCCACGTATTTCTTCTTGTCGGCTCTAATGCTCCTCTTCACTTGCTTGTTTGCTTCTATGTATTCAGCTTGTGCTTGGACTTTCTCTGCTCGTGTTCGGCTGTTGTTAACTGCTGCCTTCTTGTTCTTCCTTTCTTTGATCTTGTCCAGTGTTTCTATAGAGATCCATTCCTTATGATGGTGTTTCTTTAGGCCCAGAACCTCTTGACACGTTGAAGTTAATGCTTCCTTGATGCCTTTCCAGTTTTCCTCCATAGTAGTTTCTTCTTCTTTCAGTAGATCATGTAAGGCTTAGGACCTGTTGTTAAGAGCTATATTGAATTCGTTGAATTTGTCAGTATCTCGAAGGAAGGCTGTATTGAACCTTTGTATTGCTGTTTGTCCAGTTGTCCAGTTCTTCTTTGGCTTCAGTTTTAAATTGGCCACAACTAGGTGGTGATCTGGAGCTGTCTCAGCTCCTCTCCTGGTTCTCACATCTTCTATTGTCCTTCGGAATTTTTTATTGATGCAGATATGATCTATCTGGTTCTCTGTGGTGTGGTCCGATGAGATCCATGTAGCCTTGTGTATAATATTATGCCCCCTATGACCAATTTGTTA